TGAAGATGTTGCCTAATGGACCGAGCTGATCCCTGCTGCAGCTTTCGTGCCTTTTTGTTGTTCATTTTGACTGCTGTGTCTGAAAAGTGCAATTTAAGTCCATCCAGCAACCTGGTCTAGTGGAAGGTGTCCCTGCCCATGGCAGAGGGGTTGGAACTAGGTGGTCTTTAAGGTCCCTTCCAATCCAAACCATTCTATGAATTGTTTTTATCTCAACCCATGAGTTTCCTTGTCTTTTCTGCCACTTCTCCTCCACTGGAGGGGGAGGGGGGAGGTGACCGAGAGACTGTGTGGTACTCAGCTGCTGTCTGGGATTAAACCACGACACAGCAGAGCAAGCGTAAGAAATGGAGAACACTGTATTGCCTGCTGCATGTAGACTTGCAGTTCTTATTTGCTGTGCTACAGCCATGTTGTTTCTCACTGCTTTGTTTTGTTCTTTAAATCAAACTCCAAGCTGTTCCTTTACTACTGTGAATGTTATAGTTAGGGTGATAAATTCATAGCACTGGAAATGATCACCTATAAAATCTGACAGGAACTAAGTTATCAGCTCCTTACGAAGGTACCAGGAAGGAAAGACATCTTAACAGCAAATAGCATTCACTCTAGCACTTCATAAAATGTTGTGCGTTAGCATCAAAAGAGGATCCCAAGGTTTTTGATGTATCATGCGATTAAAATGTCTTGAAGTTGTTAATGATACATTTCTGTATATACTTTAAAACGTGGGTATATGTGTTCTTGTGGCTCAGCACGAGATCTAAAGATATTACTCTTTGTATTTGCATTCTGCTAAATTTTGTATTTTTTTACCTACAGGCTTTACCTTACCACACACCTTGGGCCTGGGGTCCTTTGAAATGCTCCTTATCCCCCTGAGCTCTGCCAATACCTGTGTCTGCCTCCTCGATTGCTGGTGCCTTCCTGCTTATTTGCGCTGCCAAGAGAAAAAAAGCTGCAATAGGCCATACAGGTTGTCTTAATGTCACCTCCTTCCTCCTTCATGAGGCCAGCTCTTAACGAGCTTACAAAATGCCTTAGGAGGTCAGACCAAAAGCCAATCTACCTCAGTGTTCTGGTTGATTGAAGATATTATTTAGAGAGAATGTGGTCCATTTCTCTCATATTCTCTCCAACATCCAGAATTACTGTATTAAGGATGGTAAACACTGTATACTTGCCTCACCTTTAGAGTTTCTTATGGAACTGTGACCATGAGTTTTCTGACTGTATTCTGAGCTTGCTGATGTTACCTAGCTCCACAACCTCCTGTGGCAAAGAGTTTGAAAAACTAGTAAGGATGCACTTCCTTTTAAATAAGCTGCACGTTGGTTTGTAAGATTTGGTGAATGTTCTGTATTCAGCTTATCTGACGCGTTTATAAACTTGTAAGGCACTTCTCATTTTTTTATTTTCCAGGTGAAAAATTCCAGTCTTCTCAATGTCACTTCATAAGGAAGGACTCTATCTCCCTGGTCAATTCCCTGTGCCTTTTGCTGTACCCTGAACTACCCTGTGTCTTTGAGATGTGTAGATCAGAACTACATGCAGCACTCACTCGACAGGAGTGCACAGAGACTTTGTGTGCTTGCAGTGTTGTCCTCTGTCCTCTTACCCACACCCCCACTGATGACACCAAACATCTCTTTGGCTGCCAGTGCACACGGACAATCCTGTTAAAATCTGTTCAGTTATGACTTTCCTGTCTCTTTCCTGACTTGTAGCTGAATAAGGCATGATTTTTCTCTAGATTCATTGATGCTCATCTGCCAACTTTTTACCCATTCATTGAGTTCTGTGGACTTTTCTGCCCATTAGCACAGCATCATATGAGCTTAACTACAATGCAGGTTGTACTGCACGTTCCCTTTTACAGGTCACTGATACATTCAAGTGGTCCTAGCACCAGTCTTTGGGAAGGTCCCATTGCTGACTTTTCTGTCATGAGAAGGGACCATTAAGCCCTATCCTTTCTTTGCTTGGTATCTTTTAATTGGTTTTCTAGTCATGAATAGGACATCTCTCCCAATTCCAGATTAGGTTCTTTAATAAAGCCTTGCCAAAGGATTTTTATCCAGGTGCTTTTCTGACACTATTTTAGCATTCTTCAAGGTTTCTGAACATCAGTTCTCCTTTATACAAGCCCTACACCTTTCTCAGCTGACTATATTTATCCTTGCTCTCAGTAAACTTACTCTTTATTGCAGACTCAACCACCTTATCAGGATGGGAAATTGTTCAATGGCCTGTAGCTCAGTCTTCCATTGAAGATGGAAGATGACAGCTGTGTTGCCAATCTGCCAGTCCCCTGACCCAGAGGCCACCTATAATGATAGGTGAAGGAACCTTGCTCAGCAGCTCTGCAAGCTCACATCTGATTTCCTTCAGAACTATTTGATAAACGCCATTTGGTCCTGAAATCTTACCAGCATCTAGATTATCTAAAGCAATTACACAGAAGGTGCTAGACCACGTTGATATAGGTCTTTTGGCCTAGCTGCTACAGAGAATTTATTTGGCTTCTCTGTCACAGTCTTTATCAGAGGGTGCCCCTTCATAAACCTTTGTCATCAGCTCTCTCATTAGTTCCTTCCTGATTGCTACTGTCGTCTTGATCAGGGGTCAGTACCACAGTTCTATTTCGTTTTTAGAATTCGATTTTCTTTATTTTTAATTAGGTTGGTACCAACTTCCCACCACGGACACCAACTGCCCTGCTACTTTTTTTCCTGTAAGATGTCCATGCTGCTGCACTCTACACGATCTTTCACACATGGTGCTACTTTGTCACCCGCATACCCTGCTGTGCCATTCTTAACAGCTGAAGCCCCTCCGAAAAGGCTGCAACCCCCTCCACAGTCCATATCAGTCTGGGAACCAGGTGTTTTGAGTTCTTTAGTTTTTGCCCAGCTACTATTTTAAATGCTGCTCTACAACCTTGCAGCATTTCCACACCAGCAGTCTTGCTCTGGTTTTGTGCAAGATACAGCCTGTAATTCGTGTTTTTTTCTTGTCCTAAAACATTTCCCAGTTCTTAATATACCAGCATTTTTCTGGAGAAAGAAAAGGTAGAGCATTAGATGAAGTGAGTTTTTTAAAGTCCAGTCAATCTTATCTTCACATTTAGAGGCATTCCTATATCATGAATAAAGACATTTCAACTTCATTTCACTCCTGGAATGCTAGTGACAGTGAACTGGTACTTGGAAAAGGACCAGTAGAGAGGAAAAGCAGCAGGACTGAGTAGAGTATCATGTGATTCTTCTTGTTTTGTGAGCCACAAGAAATACACTATGTAGGCATATGCAAAGATTTACGAGCAACTCGTATAATATGAGATTTGAGCCACTAGAAAAATGGCATTTTTAAAAGGCGTTACAAATTCCTACACAGGCTTTTCACAAAGCTGGGTGAACACAGAAAACTGGCAACTGCTGTAACTCCTGTTCCAATAGACTCATCTGTATTGCTTTATAAACATCATTCAGGATAATACATTCCTTCTGCTGCTGCTTAAGAACAAAAGCATGCTGTGGCTTAAAAAATATTGTTGCCCTCCATCCTCCCATTTTGCTGCCACTTAAAAGGATCTGAATTATCTAAGCCTTCTTGCCTTCAAGATGCTACAAACCATTTTGAATTGCATGCTTTGGCATGAACACGAGATGAACTGGCAATGTACGTACTCTGAATGCTGCTGAGCCAGGAAAAGAAGAAATCCCGGCTGAAAATATGTAGAATATAATTCTATATTAGTGGCACAAGGTGTCTGAGGTGATGAGAGAATGAATATACTTATAGCGTTTCAAAGCAAAGCAATGGCAAGATGCATGTGTCAATAAGTTGTAGTTTCCACCATGGTGTTTCTCTTAACAGTAGTTGAAGAACCAATGATATTTTGTTCAGTTCTAAAACACATCTCAAAACCTTGTAACAAACTCCAAATGAAAAATCTTGGAAATACCCTTTGGATTCATGTACTAAAGTTAATGAGGAAGCCTTGAACAGAAGCCCATTATAATGACATTTATTAAAATTCTTGACCAGACTGTATTCATAACTTTTTAGCACTTCCCAATGAGATGTTTACTGTATGTTTCTATAAATTACGCATTCATTGCATAAAACTGCATTCATTTCTCTATCAGCATACTATATAAATTATCACAAAACCAAATGAACCAACAAAAGATTCTTGAGTACATGTAACATTGGTGGGCAGATAATATCAGTTACAGCCTTATCTTCGTGGTAAGCAGCTCTAAATGAATCCCTCTTGAACTCATTTAATTAAGAAGCTGAAAAGAAAGAAAACATGATTAAATGCTGAAAAATGCATACAAAACATAGCATCACAATTATTTGAAAAGAATAAACACAGACTTCAAACATTCATTTGAAAAGCCATTTGACATTTGTGTAAAAATCTCTTAAGTTTTTATATCCCATTTAGTAATCACTAAGCAAAGCATGAAAGTTATCAAACTGGAGTGCCTGAAACTTAAATTTGTCTATTTAAAAAAAATAAAAAGGTAAAATGCACTTCAAACATCTGTTCTCTTTAATCAAGTTCTGCATCTGCTCTGGTGAGAACTACCTCTCCTAGGAGACGTTTCAGATTTATTGAAAACATTCTTCTTTTACTGTTGAAGTGGCTCCAGAGTAGGGAGGGTATAAAGGACTTGCACTCTGTAGGGCTGCAGGCTCTTAAATTCTTAATATTGTAATAGATTAAGAAGTTCCAGATGACATCACTGTTTCTTAGCCTCTGGAACAAAACTTTGTTTTTAAGAAGTAGATATATATTGTGTGTTATACCTTCCTAAGTACTTTACCAAAGAATAGTTATCTCATAAATTGGGAAATGGGAACACAGAAAGACTTGTGCATGACTGTAGTCAGTTAACCGTAGAAACACAAAAGCTATGAACTACTGAATGGAAGGGTTTCTCCAGTGCCTCCAGCTTTGCATGAAAAATCTTTCATCCCGTTACAGACATGTAGTGTTCTCTAGCACGCACATGTAGCAATTTGATCGGTTTTCCATGCATGGTATAATTAATTATTCATTACAAAATGTAAATAGAAGTGCCGTAAGCTTAAAAGACTGTACCAGTATAAAGATGTTCCCTGCTACAAAAAGTTGACAAGCTCATTAAGCAAGACATACCAACCAAGACAAAACTGATGGCAACTGCCTGAGTGCTGGAGGGTGAAGCACCTGAAAGGGAAAAGCTAGCAAGCACAACTCATGAAGAGATGCATTGTAGGGTGCCGAGGGGAGAAGTAAGAGAATGCTGAGCACATGAGACTCAGGTCTAGGATAACTCAGGTCTAGGATAGATGTGTAAGGCCATGCACAGGAAAGGAACTGAGGGAAGAGAGAGGAAAACTGGTAGTGAGAAAGTCTGGGGGGAAGAGTGGGAAGATTACAATAATCAGGCGAGTAGCATCGTCAGGCTCAGGAGGGGTAAAAGACAATGATATAACTGTAAGGAAATACAAATATGGCAGTGTCACTTTGGCTAAATATGATACTTTCTGTCTACAAGGAAGCTGCATCTTTAACAGCTAAGAGACATGACAGAGAATACAGATAAGGTAAACACTGAAAGTTACATGGAAGCTATAAAACAAGCTGAAGAGGCTAGATACAGAAAGAAGGAAAAAGCCTAAAGCAGAAAACCACTAAAAGAAACAACACCATAAAAAAATCAAAAACTAGAGAGTAGCCAAAAAGAAGGTGGGGGGGTGGGGTGTGTGTGAGGGGTTTCTGCAAAATCTAAAATAACAAGTTCTACAATATCTGTTGGGGTAGGTCTGCAAAAAAAGAAAAAAAGTAACCATGTCCCCTTACGCAAAGCAGGGGAAAGAACAACTGGAAAGGCTGGCCAAACTGTGTCCTTCCAGACACAAACTAGCTGGAACTGGGTAGAATGGGTAGGAGCAAACAGTAAAATGTAAGACTTAGAGGGAAGCCACAAAAGCAAGGAGAGGTATGAATGTTGGTAATCCGAGAAGGAAGGTCCTACTCGCAGAAGAGCACACCAACTGTTTGCCCCAGTGAAGCAGCATACCCAGCTTAGGAGATCTGCTATGGGCCAGACACCTGGAATTCAGATCTCCCATTATTTAAAGGACTAGAACCAGCACTAAACACGGACACTTCACAGAGGGAGGGGTGCACAGGTCTGTGATATTCATGAATTCAGTGTGCTGCTCGATGGTTTAGATGAACAGAGGAGACTCAGCTGTTTTGCCTTCCACATCGACGGGCAGCTTCTCTGCTGAAGAATGTGGTGTCTAGCCACGCTGAGAGAAGGAGCACTGAAAATGCTAAATGTAAGATGTTTTGTTTTGACAACTGTGTGTTCCCATTCCCCTGTCTTTGAAATTATCCTGACTGCTGCCGTTTTGAAGGAAGTATCCTGTTTTGCTGAGCACCACAGACCTGAATGTGAATCTTGGTGTTTACCGTAAGTAGATTTACCCATTCGTAAACTTTAGATGAATTGATTTAATTACGCATTAAATCAACATGGAACATCTGAACAGTTGTCAGTAGCGCTCACATTTATTAATAAATTTAATTTTATATGTCTGCAAATATTATTTGTACTACTTACTAATATTTTCCCAGTACACTTCCAAGAAATAACTATTCCACTTTATTCACTTGCATTTAATTTCAACTGTTCAATGTTATACAGGATTTCTTTACTGAAACTAATTTAATTACAATGAGGGTAGACATTTCTTATACGGTGTATATAGTGAATGCGAGGAATTCTCAAGCTCTGGGGCATTTTGCAATTTGTCTGTTCGTGTTGCACTGACTGTTTTTCTCTAAGCAATGAATGAATACTTCATGTCTGATTTAACGTTTATGTTTTTTTGATGAAAATAAGGCATCTTTTATTTATCAGGCTTTCTTGCAGGTTTCTCTCCTAGTCAATACAGTATTTTCCATTCCACCAATACACAGTTCAGAAGGCAGATTATTTTTTATGGTTTGAGTAAAAACTCTTTACATTACTCTTCAACAATTCCCAAATACAATGGCTATAAAGGATAATCTGATAACAAAACACTTAATTGCAGGCACCAAAAAATTCTTTTAAAAGCTACTTAATGAAAACTTATATGAAAACTTTGAATTTTCATGTGTGCAGATCATGTAAATTCAGATTAAAACAACAGAAAATGACAAAATGTAGACTTGAAAGGGCAATTAGAATTGTCAACAATAATGAACTCTGTTAAAAGTTTCATCCAGAAAACAGAGCAGAAAAGACAACACAGGGCCGTTAAGTTTCAGCCAACAAAAAATGATTGAGAAACTTTTACCAGCATCAGTAAACTGTGCACTTTTGTCGGTCCTCTTGAAGAAACCAGTGTTACAAATATTTACATTCCCAGTAATACAATACTGTGCTAGTGTACTGATGTCTTATGTTTTGTACTTACCATCCTTCCTCATTCTTTTTAATACTCTGTGTGCTTTTTGGACTGAAACTGCCTAAAGTGAGGTTTCCAGAGAGCCCTCAAAGCTCTTGCCTGACTAACAAAGCTAACTCAGAGTACATGCTTTTGGCTTATAGTTAAGAATAATTTCTCTGGCATTCCCAGAGTTAGTGTATTAGTTGACAGATAAAATTCTGTGTTGATATAATGAAATTTTGTTACTCAATCACTGTCTGATACTTAATGTATCACTTATTCACTTTAAATATTGGGATGAGAAGGCTTCCAAAAAAGATTCTCTTGGATATATCAGCATTCCTGTCTTATCCAGAAACATTATAAAGGGGAGAATGTTCAACAGTATAAAATAAAATTATTGCATTGCCTTTCACCAGTTAATGACAGCAATTAAAATGAAAGTTTTAGCAAAATGAAAGATTTAATCCAGTTCCCATAAAAATGTGGATTAGCACAGGCATGAAAAAGCCCTGCCATGGTAAAAAAGGCTCTAGCAGAGAGATTTGTTACATGCTAACTCATCCACCCTGACTGCATTAACTCAGTAAATAACCTCCACAGTGACCTCTATTTTGCGTCCCCTCTCCCATTCCAACACTTTATTGTATGAGGGTATTTTACCAACATAGTAATTAAACCATTTTTCTCCCAAACCTAGCCTTCAAGAAGAAAATTCTGTGGAAAATAAAATCAAAAACTTAATTGGAAAATGTCTGAAGTGGATGAAAAAAATGTAAGGAAAATGTTACTCTCTTCCTACACACATGTCCTCTAAAAAGTACACTTACAGACCTGTGCTCTTACTAGAACTCCTCTGGACATTCTTCTATTTGTTACAGAAATTAACAATGACAATGGCATTACCAGGGTCAAAGAAATAACAGCATTCCCAGGACTTGCATTTATGCACATTAGAAAGAGAAATAACAGTCTCTCTCCAGTTTTTGACTCCTCCTTTATGTTTATCCAACTCTGGTTTGATTTATCTTCACTACATGGAGGTCACCAGAGAGAAAGAAGATGCATAGCAGGTTGTGTTACTGTTTCACTTCTCATCGATACATGATGCTTCCAAGAGGACTTAATTGGTTGTTCAGTGCCAGCGAACAGAAATAATTTATTGTATTTGACTTCTTTGTTTTGTTTTGTTTAAGTAGGAGAGTGAAGTTGATGCTGGAGATCATGCATATAGCATTAAACCAGTTTTGGTTTTCTTTCACTGTTGCTTTAGGCATGCCAACACAAACATTTTTTCTTTTTTCTAACAGATCATTAGTATGCATTGTTGTTACTACTGTTCAGGGCAAAGCTTTACTAGCCTGAGGACAATTTATCACCTAAAGACTGCAAGTTTCAAGGTGAAATCTACAACCAGTGAAAGTAAAAAGACAGATATGTTTCACATCTTAAGATATATTTACACTGGGATCAATTGATGAGACATGAAACTCCTTGGAAGAGTCTAAGGGATTCAGACGAAAAGATTAATGTCTATCAGCATATATGACTGAAGTTAAAGTGCAGGATATTAAATTAAAGGGAGAAGAGAAAAAAAGTTTATATACTTGGTCCTCCTTAGTGTTTTGCAAGTTCACTTCATTGAAATTCGTAAGAACAGAGGCCTCTCTTAAGAAACACTATGGGCACTGTCATGAAGATGACTTGGTTGAGATCACTGAAGTGCCAAAGAATCAATAGTATGTTTATTTAAAATAATGCAACACAAATGGGGTCAGAGCTACCCAAGAGACCAACAGAAACCTGGAAGATTTAACACTGAAAGGGACCAGATCACTAAATTACACATGTGGGAAACTAGCAAATGTAATTTGATAATAGCAAAGCAAAAGGATCAGTTCTAGTGATGGTTCCCCATAATTCCACAATGAGCAAGGATTTAAGACTGAATGAATAATTTATTCCCATGAAAACATGAAGAATCTAGGGCAGTCCAAGTAAGCCTGTAAGACCTTGCTTAATTCTGCAGTAGCAGTAACATAAAAAAAAACACCAAAGAAAACTGTGTAACACTTAGCTAGCTATTAAATGTTTTTCATGTACTTGTACATCCACAGGGTTCATTCTTTTATGAATTTACTTGATGGGTGTTACTGATTAGTAAGCTGCGATATTGAACCTACTTATCTCCTTAAGATAGAATTTGGTTTATGGATCTAATAATTCCTTCACAGTAACAACATGATGCAGCACTATCTCATTTTCACAGGATTGCGATGAATCATTCTTTTCAGCACTATCCTGGATTTTTTTTATTTCTTTCTTTACCAGCTTTAGCATACCAGCAGGTGCACTTCTTTTCCACATGCATTGCATATCAGATTAAATTTCTTGAAATTAAACTTTTAATGGAATTCAGAAGTTCTCTTTCTGTTCCTCTTCCCCTCCAGCCCTGATTCTTGATGTCCTTTATTCTTAGCTTGGATACTAACAGAGGAGTACAAAATCTCCACAGGGCTCCAACTTCTGCTAGAGACTCCAAAGAGAAGTTTTCTGATATTTCACTAAATACAGGTTGAATTGTGGGGGAAAAAATTAATAAAAAAATCCATCCCATCTAAGCAGATTAGCAAGAAAAGAAGGAAACCCCCTACTTACTTATATTAAGATTCTTAAAGCTTACAATACATGAGACTACAAGATTACAAGATATGTGGTAGACCTCAGCAATTAGGTCTGCAACAACATCAATGGTATTGTGTAAGCACACTGATGTTCACAAGGCACTGTGCAGCCTCAGACATCCCAGGTATCATACGGCAGTCAAAAAACCCGTGCCAACATTCACAAAAGCCATGCAAGGTATGGAAACTGGCACAGTCATACAGGCATGCTGTTCATAGGTGATAAGAACATTCCTAAGATGAAAGAACTAAAAATGAAACTAGTGCAACTGTCAGGTTTTGTTTAGCAGCTGTTAACTTGCACAGCAATGAACACAACAATAACAACTGTTTTTTCCTTTTCAGAAACTTGTTAGGAGAAGATGCAAGTAAGCTCAGAGCATGGGTTGACATTCTTTGGCAGTGTTTCTCAAGGGAACTTTTGAGCTGCAGATCAAGCTCATAATTCCTTCTCTTCTCTTAGGACTTAAGAACTTGATGGGAAGTAAGAATACCTCACACTTAGCAAAACTGGATCCTGTCTTTTGACCCATGTCAGTCAAGCTAGAAGGCAGTCTAGCTGAGAAAGGACGCTGAGACAGCACACAGAGTATTCCAGATGGCAAACCACTAACTCCATACTGACGGAATCTTGCAATATGATACTATTTGTCCCTTTACAGACCAATTCCCTTAGCAGAAATGAGTAAAAAGCAGGAGCACAGCTTCTCTGCATATCACAAAGGGAAGAGTTTCCTTGAGTATGAACTCAAGAACTCATTTTATTTACTATTTTCCTACTTTTTCTGCTTGTCAGAAAAAATATAACCATTTAATCGACATATTTATGAATAATATGTAGACACTGAATTGTACATATAATTAAGACAGACTTTAATCCTTTCTTTCCTCTCTAGTGTGGCTGAAAAAAGAAGTGGGTACTTTTAGTAATAAATCACAGCTTAGCAGTGTACACTGGCTTGGTGGTCTTGTCGTTTGTCTCATATACAGTTTGGTAAAGATACACAAACATCTGATAAATGTTTATAAACTCAAGCACATGTTTGTTTTGCATTCTTCATGGGACACTGAGTATGCCGCACGTCTGTGCTTAAACCCATTTAACAGGTCTGCATTTACAGTCACGTTAACAACATTAGCGTTCCAGAAGTTTTTGATTTGCTTGAATTAATCACCATTCTTCCTCCTTCTTCCAGTTCACATAGACTTTAGTGGTAAAAGTTAAAGATTGTTTACCTAAAAGCTTTTCTTAAATGCATACAAAGCTATTAAAACCTATAAAACGAGAATTTAATGAGAGATTACCTGTATGGGTAGCCATGGTATTTGGAACGAAATATCGACAACAGGAAGCTGAAGAAAAAGACCACCAGACCCAGGCCTACCAGACATATTACTGGAAAGAAAATAACATTGTTTAGTAGCACATAAAAGATTTAAAAATGGAATCTCTACAAAGAATATTATTTATGTCAATCATTTATGAAGAATTTTGACACAGTTAAATACAAAAATGTTACTGCCTTGACTACTGATGCCCACTATCTTCTGTCAGAATTTCAAACACATATGAATATAATATTTATGGTTATTAAGAAAAAATAACTTGTCATTGTAAATGTATTTTCAAGAAAAAAGAGCAGCAATTTGCACCTCAAATGCATGTGGATGCAAACACCTTACTGCTGATAATGGAGTTAATAACCTTGTAAATTATATGTATCAAGAAATGTAATTTCAGGTATTTGCTTGTTCCTTTCGGAAACCAAATTACATTTAGAAAATATCCCTTGACTAATGGAATGATGTTTTCTCTAGTCAACCATCTAAGGCTGAAGTAACAGCAAAGGTAGTTTAACTACTTCATCTAGTTCTCGGTGGCTAAAACATTTCACTATTGTAAGTTCCAAGGCTGGTAGGAAAATCACTTTTTACTCTTAACTTGCTAGCAATATAAATCTTTAAGTTTTGAAGATAAATAACAATGACCTTCTGATAGCATCCAGATGCAAGTGCTTGGGGCCTTTTTAGGCAAAGAATGAATTAGCAAAGTAAATGCGTAAATTAACAAATAAAATTTGGAGCACCAGCTGACACCCTGTGTAATAATAGCATAAAACCTCTTTGATCACGACAGCTCACTCAATTGCATATAAATAAATCTAAAAAAAAAGGGCAAGCTGATGCATATAATCGAAACGCAGCTCATCTGCATTAGACAATGTTTTGGTTCTAGTGAGCTATTTTGATTTTTTAAAGCTTCTCTTCTTCTACTATTCCTATTTTAGCCAAACCTCTGCTACTTAATTGCAATATTCATGCTTCAAAAAAACGTGCTGGCTTTGAGAGAAGGATGTACAACCACAAAGCCAGAGAAACAGTGACACATTTTTTCATTAAAATGGTCCATGTGGAACCTGACACACATCAATTGAAATATAAAACTTCTGCAGTTATTTTGAGAAAACTAGCCATGTACAAATCTTATAAACACACTTCATTATAGAGAAATCACCACTCACAAATATGATTTCAAAGCATGGATGAATAAATTGCGAAGCATGAACAGTGCAACGCAGGTACATGGAAAGCTTTCACATCATGGCCACAGCAGAAGAGTATTTGTACTGTAGCCCACTGTTATTTCACTGTGTTTATAGCGTGGAAGGCAAAACAGCTCAGTCTCTTCTCTTCATCTAAACCATCCAGCAGCACACATGACCCAGACGCCAATCATGACTTAAGATCATATTCCAATTAAACTCATAACACCCTCTCTTTTGACATCAGTATAAAAGCTAGATACTGTAAAAGAGATTCAGAATTAAATTATGCATCTACAGCTCATTGAAGGAGACCCTCAAATCACTACAGATTAGAGATCTCTAGCCAACATTCAACCAGGTATTATGAAGAATTCTAAAACGCTTTCATAGGAAATTGTTGGCCAGCCCCATCTGCAATACTGTGTATTACACAGAAGCAGCTGCAGAACTGATCTAGAAAGAAAGGGGAAGCAGTACAGAAAGCCTGACATCTTTCAAAGGTCTTTAACACCTTACATGAGAAGAAGAGTAAGTGGCAGGGGGTATGAAAAAATATATTACAAAAGGTGCATAGGCAAATGGGCAAATTTGTTTCAACCTATGTCATGCACAGTAAAAGTTTGTTTGACATAACAGTTAGGGAGTTTAAATATGGATAAAATACTTTCATATTGTGTGTTTATGTAATTCATTGCCAAAAAATCTTGCAAATATTCTGAAGGAGAACAACATTCAGAAAAACATAACACTTGCACTTCAGGCTAAGAATCTTTAGACACTACAGATTAGAGTATGTTCTGTACTACATCTACTGTTGGGCTTCCTCCTTCCTCTGGAGACATGATACTGGCAAAGCATACCAAGTAAAAGAATTTTCACACTCCTCTGGATGTTGTCATCTTAAATGCCTAAATTCATTTTGAAAGAGATGTTTTGAAACTCTTGTTCTTTATGTTGCCAACCTTCAATATAATTCAAGAGCCAAAAGCACTTATGCGGTACTATGCAGTGGAGATACTGTGTCAAGCTGTACCTTGGCTGAGTATGCTTAAAACATTTTTGTACTGTTACAACTTCATGTGAATACAATTTCAGCAAGAGAATTTTTATACTCTCCTGTTCTCCACCCCACAAAAGGTAAAAATTGGTTTAAGGTAGAGACCTTCTGAAAACTTAAACAGATATTAATTTGCAATTTCTCAATCTCTTCTAATGGTTTAAATATTGGCTTAGTTGTACTAAATAACTTACTTCTTCTTTTTCCAACATCCCCTTTGGAGGTAGCAGCTTCATTCAGGAGTACCATTCCCATAGTGATAGCAGCATCTATATTGCCATTGTCAAGGAAAACAGCAGTTGTGTGGATACTTCAGAAAGCCACAAAGGTACAGCTACAAACTAAAGCTTTCAAGTTCATAAAATGAAAGAAAATATTTATATAGAGAACTGCATATTGCAATCGATACTGTACCAATACACTCACCTGGGAAAATGTGTAGTAAGATTTTCCTTTGTGAATTCTAGATAAAAAAGGAAAGAAGGTTCAAAAGCTTCAAAGGACAACTGATCAAGAGGACACAAATTTTGGACAGTTATGGAAATAGCTATACCGCAATATCTTACAATATTCTGTATATTGGTAGTAAAAGATTTAAAAAAATGAAAACTATAATAACTAGAAAACATTCAGTGTTATTGCACACAATTCACTGGTTATTTGATGTGAACTGAAGCAGTTGGACTGCTTTATCTACCTCTGCTTTTAGATAAGACATTAGCTCCCTCTTTAGTGTCATACTGCTTAATAGTTTAGCAGAGAAACATCTCAGAGGCAAAATCCTCGGTCACTTTCAGTGGTTTATTGTCTCATTATAACTGTTACAAATGTGAACAAGCACATAATGATAAAACAATTCAACTAATTTAGCAAGATCTTAAACTATTCACTTAATTGTTTATTTGAAACTGTACAAACAAAAAAAGAACGGTTACTACTGTGCATAACATCTGTTCTGAAGAGGAGGCATGCCTGGATGCCATAGTGAAGCAGGAGGGCATCATGGGAGCCATATCACACAATTTCAGGAAATATGAACTTCACCAAAGTTAAATGATTCTTGAGTAAGCTTGTATTTTTAAGCATGCCTTACCTGGATGACTACAAACTTTAAAAAACTGATGTTTCTATTTATGTATACAGATAAATCATGGATGATACTTCAAACATGCTACATTCATGAACACTATCTGTATCCTATTATATTATACTTGCACTAACCCTATCAGTGTTCATATTAACATTTTTCATGTTAGAAATGTTAAAAATTAGACCAAAATACTCAAAGACATCTGAAATTTCAGTTATGCAATTTCAATTAAGCTGTACTTGAGCAATAGGATTTAGAAATGTCAATGCTAACATTACCACACTTCATCAGAGATTAGCAGACTGATTCAGGTTTGAGACTTTGACGCTTCATATACATAGAATGAGAAAAGTCAAATGAAGAATAACAGGTTTTAAAAAAGCAAACACCAGTGGTGAAAGGAGCCAGATGCCAAGAGACAAGGTCAAGGAAATAGAAGTTTTAACATCACTTCTTTGCTACAGACATCTACTTACAGTCCTAAATTAGACACTAATTAGAAACACACTAGTAGCCCAATTACTTTCTCAAACATGCACAAGGTATAAGGCATAGGGTTATTCTTAAGAATTCATGGTTATATTCAATTTTTCCAGAAGCTTATTACTGGACTTAACAAAATATAAAAAAAAAAAATAAATGCAAAACATTGTGAATAAAACCCGGACTTAACAAAATATAAAAAAAAAGAAATGCAAAACATTGTGAATAAAACCAACTGGAATCCAGAAGATTCCAGTTGCAAATTGGAAGGAAAAGCAAAAATTACGTTCTAAACATTTTGCCTGTTAAAATTCAGAATCAGGACCATAGAGACTGGAACCTGTGCTACTGCTATGCTTCAAGTAGGAAAAAGAATTAGATAGAATGCCATGAGAATCATTCAGTTCTCTACTTTGAAAAGTCACAAAAGCATAAAAAATAGTTAATGGAGGAAGCTGCAAAAAGAAGGGCTGAGAAAAAAAAAATTCCACATTTATTTCTACCCTATTAAGAAAAGGCCCTAATGTAGCACTAGTAACTTTATTTTACCAATCACTCACTTAGATTTATGGTAATGTTCTTGTTCCTAGTTTAACTGACTCATGGGAAAAACCTACCCCAATATGTGAGGGTAACTCACCAGATACCAGATCCTTTCAGGAAAGCTGTGCTTTTTGCAAAAGTTTTGGACTGCTTTGTAAATGGAATTTATTTGCTTGATTACCTCACGCACTATTGCACACAGTGTGGCCTTTTGCTATTTCCCTTACCTGGTTCCTTCTGACAAACAAACCAACTGACCAGTCACACACTAAAAAGCCATCTGGCAGACAACCATTCTGCAACTTAGTCCCATTTTCTTACCAGACCATGAGTTTAATTCATTTTTTCTAACATCAGAAATAACAGTCTCACAAAGTAACTGTTTGCTCTGCAACAAAGAATTTCAGATCTGTAACCAGATGAACTGTGCTGGTTTTTTTTCCTCTGTTTCGGAGTCTTACATCATTACTCCCAAAGCTTCCCTTGCATTGCCACTATTTTTGCTTCAGTTGTTGCTTTCTAACTTTAGTCATCATTGCTGAGCTTTCAGCCTCGCTGGTTGCCTTTTAGCTTCAACGGTATCAGCTTCATAACTTCCCAGTCTAACACGGAGCATGTCACTTGTCTCGGCTCTGTGATGCTGAAGTAAAAATTCAGTCTTACTGAGCTGTGATTTCAATGCAACAATTAGCTTTTTACCACCGAATATATAGCTTAAGTTGTTATTTTTTGCTCCTGTTTCTAACATCGTATGTCATGTCTTTACATTATTTTGATATTCTACAAAAGAAAGCAACACTCCTAGCTCTGAAAATAATCTTTTACAGTATCATATTTCTCTAGCAGTGCAGAATGTAAAATTTTAGCAAGTGGTTACTTGGATGGTTTTCCATCTGCAAAAACGAGAGAGCATCAGAATACCTACTTATTTTCTAATTCCTCTTTATCTCCCTCACTATGCAGTACAAAATTATTCTGAAAAGATGAGGGGAACACGGCACGCAGACAAACTATGGCTAGCAAATGTTTTAAATTCAGATGCTCATGTTTTCTGATAAATGTGTCCCTCTGTGGCATTTTTTTTTTTTTTCTGTGTAACTCCAGTTATATGTCTTCTCAAATTTGGAATGATTTCACTTTTACGTATTAAACTTCTGCTGCTGCTTTTCCCAGCTGGTACATGCTTTTCACAGAAATTGACAACATATACTGTTTAGTTAGTGATTTTCAAAAGGTTCTGAATGTTTTCATACATGAAAACCAGTTTTAAAGTAGGATGAAAAGGACAGTGATAATCGAAATTCCTAAGATTATTCAGAAAATGGTCAACAGTAACAGAGCATAATATTTAGTCCTGCAAAAATCAAGATGCCTGATCAGAAGTATTAAGAAAACCCCACAACACCAAACCCAACCCAACCCAACCCAAAATGGATTGGGGCAATAAACACCAGAATGACAGATACCCTACAAAATTAAAGTGATTATTAGTAAATTCTGGATACTTTTTATTAGCATACTTTAATAGAAAACTTAATCACTGTTAATTCTAGCCCAAAAGGAAGAAAACCTGGCAGTTCATAAATTAATGTGATATATATAATTTATATATTTACTTCACAATTTATTCCTAACTAGTAGTGAGTGCGAAATAAAAGGAGAGAAAAGAGGTTGACTTGGTTACTTTTATGAAAAAGTTTGGTGGTCTCATTCATATTCTGCTGGATTTCTGACAAGAGTACAAAATCCAGATTTAGCATAATGAAGAAACAACTACCTTTTAGTTTCAGATCATGCAGTTGCTTAATAATACATGAGCAAGAAAACCTAGAGAACAAAATATTCATCTACTCCATTCTGGTTCACTTTATCATACATGGAACAAAGTAAAGCATATATATTTTTTGTGAAGGGGCAATATGATCAGCAGGA